GTGTGTGTGTGTGTGTGTGTGTGTGTGTCTCGTGAGCTGTGGTTGACAGCAGCCTCTTTGTATATTAAAAAAAAAAAAAAAAAGTAACATTTTGGTTTGTAAGACGTCTGTCTATTGTATTTGAATGAATCCGTCCACATGCATGCGTTGCAGGACACAACCGGAGGAGGAAGGAACCCGATGTCAGTCGCTATGGATCATGACAGGAACACGCTTGCTCCATCTGTGGATGTCAGGATCCGAGCACCCGCCCACGAGCCCACACTGAACGGGTGAGCGTCGCCACCTCCCTCGTCTTCCTCGTCGTTATTATCACATAACGTTACTTATTAACTTATTTGGCTCCCTGCAGCGGCGCTCACTCGCGCAACGAGAGCACCGACAGCGGCCTTAGCGTCAGCAGCCTGCCGCGCTCGTCCGACCTGGCGCTCGCCTCTGCGGATCACATGGACACTGGTAACGCCTCTTCCCAAATGCTGAAATGCTAACATGTAGCATAAGACTGTTGGTATGCTAACAATATTCCGGTAACTTGAGTAGAAAAAGCGCTGAGACGGGTTGATAAGCATGAAAGATCGTGCTAAAATCACTTCGCTAAAATGCTAACATCACTTGGTCATTAAAAAAAAACAACTTTCCGTCGTAGGTGAGTGCGGCGAGTCGTCGACTTTACAAGACTCGATGCCTGCCATGAGCGAGAGCGAGGAGCTGATGCCCTGCATCCCGGAGGGTCTGAGTTCAGACCTCCTGATGGACATGGAGACGGTTCTGTCCGGCTCACACATGGACAGGGACAGCCTGCTCACCTGGCTATAAAGACGCCATTTTGTGTCTTCTTCCAAGAACACTTTGTGTGGATTGTTGACACTAACACGAGAAAGACTTCAATTTGCCCACACGTGACGAACGCCCAGCGCTACCTTCCCTGGTGCCCTTGAAATAATCTCACCTCAGGTGGTCGGATGCTGGAATTCATTCTCTTGGGGAGGTTTTCGGAAGAATCCACATGGTCAGGACGCTCATC